CAGAGACCAAATCTACATGGGAGAACAGTTACAGAAAATCAAAGTTTAACATAGGTAATTCCTATGTAGTTCTGATTGTTTGTTTAAGTCCTCAGGAAGTTCAGATTATCTGCTGTTCATTAGTCCAAGTCAGGCATTCAATTAATTGTCTTGCCAAGTAAAGTCTTCACTGGGGGATGTACATGATATGGGCTGTGATGAATAAACACATAAATCAGCAGATCCTAGATTTTCTAATTTTTCTTTGAGGAACTGACATAAATCCCTAAAGAATACAAGAGGCACTAATCTTGCTGTGCTTGGTGCTTTCAGAAGTGATGCTGATAATTTTTTATGAACTTGACTACTATGTGTCTTCTAAAACACAGCAATTTAATGAATTTTTAACAAAATGCCGTTTTGTTTATTGACTGAAATGCTAAGGAATTATTTTTTCCAGCAAAATTTATTCTGCACCACTGTTGAGTCTAGTTACAGTGCTAAAAGTCACTGTGAAGTTACAGATTCTACCTTGCCAGCCATTTCAGGAGTCTGTGAAAGGAACTGATGGATTTCAGCCTACTTTCTGAGGCATGGGAGCCCTAACACAAACGTCACTGGCACATCTGGAGCTCCTTTTATAAGAAAAATGCTTTGGGTTTACCAAATCTCAGTGGCTCTGTGACACTAACAGTCACCCATTCTGGTGCATCCCTGGTGTGTCTGATAAACACAGAAGAACAGCTTTCAGTGGCAGCAACTAGATTGCCTTGTGAAAAATTAAAATAGGTATGAAAAATCTATGGATCTGCACAATATAACCCAGGAAGCTGCTCTTACAGTCATGTCAAACATAAATGCCAATCTCTTAAAAAGAAAACTATACACAGAAGAAGTAATAGCCAGACTAAGCAATTTATGTCCTTTGTCATAATTAGTATCTTACATGGTTAGAAGAACCATCTTACCTGGATGACAGAAAAAAAATCAGTCAGTGATCTTGAAAAGATTTATCCTGAAATAGTACACTTAATATGCCTCCTTGTCTGTTAACTGTATGTAGAAATGGCTGTGTTGATTCAGTAGTAAAGTGGCTGAATAGGGCTATAAATCACTTGACTCGAAGAAATAATGTAGCTTTCCTTTCACTTACCGCTTGGCGATACAGATGCTTTCTGCAAAATCTGAATTCTTTGTAGTATTTTTTAAGAAACAGAACACTTGTTTTTCTACATAGCAAAATATATGTGAACCACTTGATGTAATAAGCTAGCAGGAACAAATCACTCCTTAAAAAAAAACAACAAATTTGTCGCTATTAATCTTGCTCTTGAACCTCTTTCACACTCAAATAGTCTTACTGACACCAGTATCGCTCCTAATTTACAACAGTGTAAGTAAGGAGTTAAACTCACTTTATTATTCCTGTTACATTACAATAAACAAAAAATACACATTGGCTTGAAATCACAGAACCATGAAATCATAGAGATGTTGCTGCTGAGTTTATTACGGTTGGATTTCATCCAATGTGCTATTAAACCTGTAAGCATAAATCACAATTGCAATGCCTGAATTACATTTGACAGCAATTTAAAATTATTTTTCCCATTTATTACACGTGCAATCTAGTATCACTCATGGAAGTTGAGCATTTTGAAAGCACAGCAGTGGGGCTGGGTTTTCACCTAGATTCAGTGTTCCCAGACTGCAAGATGAGTGCCACTCGGAACAGGCAAGCCCTTTCAAAGTCGGCTGCATGAAACACAACCTGCTGAGCATTTCTCTGAAGAAACAGGATTCCTGCTTCAGCTGGAAAACTTCTTTTTTGGTACCTGTGTATACTGAGGCATGGATGTGCTGCCATAGCTGTCTTCACTGGAGCGGAGAATGACTGCTCTTCATGCAAGTGACATGGTGACAAGTGCTGTTGCTACTGTCCCAAGAGTATTCAAACACAACTCCCAGGCCCACTGAGGGCCTGAACAACAAAATTCAGGCATCCCAGACCTCGACAGATAGGCAACAAGAGCAAGATTTCCCCCTTCAAGTAAGGTAGTTAATGAAGTAGACAGGAAAACCAGAACATTTTAGGTAATTCATTCTTCTGTTGATCCTGTGCATCTCAGTAATTATCTCAGTTATGGCCTGTTGATTCCAGTGTGTGCCTGCTCTCACTTGAATCAATACTGAAATTTCAGTTGCTTCAGTTAAAGCAGGCTGGGTCATAAGGAGTTCTACTGAATTGTGTCTTTGAGTAGCGCTTACAATGCAAAATACATACAAACTACAATGGATGTTGCTCTTACACAAGTTCAACACCATCATAGAAAACAAAACAAAGATAAGAGGGATCAAGTGGACCCTCAGCAAGTTTGCCAATAACACCAAGCTGTGTGGTGCAGTTGATAGGCTGGAGGGAAGGGATGCCATTCCGAGGGACCTGGACAAGCTCAAGAGATGGACCTGGACCTTATGAAGTTCAACAAGACCAAGTGCAAGGTCCTCACCTGGGTCAGGACAATCCCAGGCACAGCTACAGGTTGGGCAGAGAACGGACTGAGAGCAGCCCTGAGGAGAAGGGCTTGGGGGTATGTTTGATGAGAAACTCAAGTGTGAGCCAGCAGTGTGTGCCCACAGCCCAGAAAGCCAACTGTGCCCTGGGCTGCATCAAAAGGAGCTTGGCCAGCAGGTCGAAGGTGGTGATCCTGCCCCTCTACTCTGCCCTCACGAGACTCCATCTGCAGTACTGTGTTCAAATCTGGGCCCCCAACACAGAGAGATGTGGAGCTGTTGGAGTGAGGCCAGAGAAGAGCAGGAAAGACTGATCAGAGGGCTGGAGTACCTCTCCTATGAAGACAGCCTAGAGAGTTGGGCTTGTTCAGCCTGGAGAACAGAAGGCTCCAAGAACGCCTTAGAGCAGCCTTCCAGTCCAGTTCCTAAAGGAGGATGTTTTATAAGGGCATGTAGTGACAGGACAAAAGGGAATGGCTTTAAACTGAAAGAGGGTAGGTACAAGGAAGAAGTTCTTCCCTGTGAGGGTGGTGAGGCACTGGCACAGGTTACCCAGAGAAGCTGTGGGTGCCCCATCCCTGGCAGTGTTCAAGGCCAGGTTGGATGGGGCTTTGAGCAACCTGGTCTGGTGGAAGGTGTCCCTGCCTGTGGCAGAGCGGTTGGAACTAGATGAGCTTTCAGGTCCCTTCCAAGTCAAACCATTCTATGATTCTATGATCAAGCGAGGTTAGGGTGCCTCAGACTTCATGGGCTGGCTCCAGTGATTGTCCTCATTTCCAGCAAAGGAAGAATCTGTAAAACAAAATCCAACTTTTGAACCTGTAGCCAGTGTCTGTTAAAAACTTTGAGTTGTGTTGAAAATCCAACAATCTAAAGTGTGTGAGTCATGAGTGTGAAAACCTGTTAAGAGATAAACACATAGAAGATGATCTGAAGACAAGGCACAGCATCATGCCTGGCTGTAAACCACATTGTGAGGGGGCATAGTTCTGAACGCAGGGCCATTGATAGTGCTGCCATCCTTGAAGATGGCTTTATGTAACTTCACATCCAGCAATCCATTCAAATGCCCTCTTTCCATTTTACAGATGACTTCAGTGGAGGAGCAAAAATTTCTGATGCTTGCCCCAGGTCATGCCATGACTCAGAAAATGTCAGGGCTTCTGTTCTTATTGCCCTGTACCTGAAGAAATAGGCTCTCTTGACTCAAGTGTAATATTGTATGACTGCACTGAACTTCTTTTCACCTTTGATGAGCAATTTTTTCTGAGAGATCTCAAGAGTTCAGATGGAAGTTGAAAGCTGTTGAGTTACCTGACATCATGCACTCACTCGAGGCTGCACAACAGGGATGAGAGGAAAGAGCACCTCGGAAAACAACAGCTTGGCATGGTACCAATACACCACAGAAAACAACACGCGCTGGGAAAGCTGAACCTGAGGCAGCAGCAGCAGCACATGGGAAGACAGGAGACGTTAACAAATGCCAAATGCAAGGCGCAACACTCCGCAGAGACAACTGAATACACTTTGTATTAGAAAAAGCTCGCTGTCGTTTCCTGCTGGTAAGAGACTATCTGTACACGGTACTCCTTGCTTCCTTTGTGAGGAGCCGAGGCGCGCTACCGGTGCCCGGGGCTGCCCTGCTAAACTCTGCTCCCGCCGCTGCTGGAGGGCCTGGAGAGCCCTGCCGCAGGGGATGCAGTGCCACGGCACCGCCCCGCTCTGCCCTACGGGGACCGCGGCTGTGGCAGACCAGCGTGCAGGCGGTGGTCGCCGGAAGGCAGCGGCCGCCCGACCCCGGCTGACCCCGGCCCCGCTTCACCCTGCCCGGGGCGGAGGCGCGGCCTCCCAGCGGGGTGGAGGAGTCGGGAGTGAGGCGCGGGGCTGCGGCGGGCGCTGCTGGTGGGAGCACACACAATGGCCGCGCCGGGAGCCACCGTAGAGCCGTGCCGTGCCGCGCCGCGCCGGCTGGAGGCAGGGCCCGCGCTCGGTCTGGACCCGGTGCCACGGGCTCACGCGGGGGGGGAAGGCGCTGTATCGCGTCGGGCGGGGCGGGGCTCACCTGGCCATGCCGCCCGGGCGGCAGAGGGGGACAGGCCTCCGCGAGGGCCGGGGGGGCTGGTGCGGTGGAAGGCCTCCCATTGGCGCGCCGGCCGGGAGCGCTGGCACCGCCTCACGGGGCGCGGAGGGGCTGGGAAGCCGCGGCGGCAGCGGGTGAGGGGCGAGCGGGTTAGCGGGCGGCGGAGAAGGCGGGCGGCCGGCGGTGGGGAGGGGATTCCCCCCGCCTCACCCTCCTGCCCTTGCCCTGGGCTGGGTACAGTTAGGTACGGGGACGCCCGTGGGTTCCTGCCGCAGGTCCGGCGGCACATCCCAGTTGACCAGGCAACAGAGCCACTGAGGAATGCAGCCGGGCGCCGGTGGCTGGGCGGCGGTCCGGCTGCTGGAGGAGGGGCGGGGCTCCGGGCGCCGCTTTCTTCTCCCGCCGCCGGGGCAGGGGCAGGAGCCGGGGTAGGGGAGGTGTCCTCGGGCCCGCGGGTGCCGCTTCCTCCGGAGCGGGGCGGAGCGGGCGGGGGGCGGTGGCGGCGGCGGCCCCGGCGCCGGGAGGGACACCGCCCCGCCGCGGGCAGGGGAGTTCACCCAGAGCCGTGCTCTTCCGCAGGGCGCGTAGCTGAGCGCGGGGCGGCTCCGGCGGCTCCGGGGCGCTGGTGATGAGGGCGCGGAGCAGAGCGGGCTGAAGGCGAGGCGGCGATCATGACGGTGTTCAGGCAGGAGAACCTGGAGGAGCACTACGAGACGGGCGAGGACCTCGGCAGGTGGGTGCGGGCCGGTGCCGGCTTCGAGCAGGGGGAGCCGCTGCCGCTGAGCGCGGAGGGGCCAAGGCAGGCGCTGCTCAAGCCGCCTGAAAAGCCCCCGCGCCTCCTTTCAGTCCTGACGGGAGATGCCCCTTCTGAGAAAGGGGAGTGGGCTTTTAAGCTACAGCGCGTTTGCGCTTATAGTGGAGGTCTGATGTGGGTTTGGAGCCGGGCAGTTCTTCGGTGGTACCGTCTCTGCTTGGTGTCCGTCGGGGTGCTGTGCGGGGTCAGCTGCGAAACGTACGGCTGGCTGCTGCTAGCCCGGCGCGTAGCTGAAAACGTGGCGGGTTTGTAGCCCGGGAGTTGGTGGTGTGTGTGTAGTGAGGGGCTCCGTATCTATTGGTTTCGCTTTAATAAGACGATTAAAGAAGTGAGATAAATTGCTTTTCATCCGTGCGGTGGAGATCACTTTCTGGGTATCCCTGTTAAGCTGGAAGTCGGATGAGGGGATGTGAGCAGAGCGCTGCAGATAAAGCGTTGCCTGCCTGAGCTATGATGCTTGGGTGCTGTGTAGTGATCTCCTCTGAGTCCATGCTGTTAGTGATGCCTTGTTTTCTCAGTGCCTTCCGTGTTTAATTCAGTTTAACACTGAATTATGTTATGTGCAAGTCTCCTTTTCATCTTCCTTTCCCCTTCTTTCAGAGGGAATTCAGTGGTATTTTAGCGCATCAGTATGGCGGAATCCTTTTGTAGCGTTCATCTCGGCAATTTCAAAGCTGAGGATCAGTGTTTCATTACCACAGGGCAGTGGACATGACAACATGCAGATGATCATGTGTGTGCTTGTGTGTACCTTTCCAGTGAAGGGACAAGTTATAACAAATGTTGTAAACGAGATACTGGCATGGGCAGGAACTTAGAAATACAACATTGTTTCTTAAAAAAAAAACAGCCCTACCAAATAAACAAAAAACTCCTGCATTACTGGAAACTTCATTGGACTGTATTTAAAATAACCTTCACCCTACTTATGTACAAGTTTGTTGCTGTGACTTGTACAGGTACATGATAAATACATACTTTCATGTTGTGTTCTGGGTTGGCTTTTTGTACGTCTAGAATGACAGTCCATGTTAATACGTTAGTAGGACAGTGAAGTCATATTAACTTATTGGATGTCATGTTAGAAAGACATGTTATGCCATGCCACAGTTTAAGTTGTGAGGCCTAAATATTTTGTTAGGACACAAAAAATTGTTCGATTTAATTTCCGTTCTTCTTGGCAAGAATGCATGAAGTGTTCTGAAATTTAGTTTTAGGTGTCTGGACTCTTAAAAATAAAACTATGCTTGTGCTTACACAAATACAGGGTTTACTTTACAGAAGAAAATAAAGACACATCTAGAGATTGCCCTGTTTTCTTAAGGTTCTTCAGGGAGAAGATGATGTCGGTATTCTAGTTTAGAAGGTGTTAAGGTTTGTGTAACCTCTCTCATATTTATTTTAAAGTGTCAGTGCAGTGTTAGGTCCCCAGTACACATTTATAAAAGAGAGTAATTGCCTTAGGCCACTCACATAAGACATGCTTAAATACATGGGTATTTTTCCAGACACCCTTTGGAAGTCATGTTGGCTCCAGAACACAGCAGTGAAGACCAAGCATGTCATTTTTACAGAATGGGGAAGTGCAAGCACTGAGTAATATTATAAAGAAAAAAAAAAGTGTTTTTCAAGTTGGCAGAATACTAGGAGGAGTGTAGTAAAGAAATGGTATATTAATGTGGTCTGTTATAAACATGTTATTATGGTACTGAGGTTGTTCTTGTTCATCTCAGTGCTATATGAGGTTGGCATGCAGTTTAAACTTATAATATTTTAAGAATATTAAAGAACTTTAAACTCTTTTGTCTCTTCCTTGAAAAAAGTGAAGAAAACCGAGAACCTCATCAATTTTATATACTTTCGTGAGAAAAATGCCAGTGGGTGGTAAAACATCACAAAGTGTTTGACAGGGATTTTGTGTTAAAAGTGAAGTGTAGTTATTTAAAAGGGCCAAAGCTTTCACTCCAGAATCATTTATAAAAAAAAAAAAAAAAAAGAGATTATTTCACTGTGAGATGTTGCCATAAAACTGTAAGAGTAAGCAAATCTTAGGATAGTTGTATGGTTTACTTTAGTGGTGTTTTTAACTTCTTTTAAAGCTTAAATTTCTGTGGTTGGAGTACTGCCTTCTAAATCCCATGAGTTTCTAGTCCTCCTTTACCCCTTATGTAGGTTTCTCACCATTACTTTGCATACAAATGTAGTTGCAGTTGTCAACACTGAGGCTCAAAACTCAGAAAGCTGTGGATATTAAAAACACCTTTTACTTTAAAATTTCTTCTGTTCATCTGAGAGCCCACATCATGATTTAATACTTGAGCTAAGCAATGATGAAAGGTTCTATTTTGCAAAATCAGCCTTCCCCACCCCTTCTTAGGAAGAATTCCTTTATTTCCTCTTGCTTTGCTGCAGTCATGCAACAAACAAGGTGAATAAATGAACAGGTAAGTTTCTCTTGTCAGAGGTGTGTTTGAATGAATGGATCGTGAAATTCTAGGCCAACCTGCCTTCTGAGAAAGCTCAGCGAAGACGCATATACTCAGAAATTTTAATAATCTTCACTGTTTTCCCTTGTAAATTATTTAGCAATCTTTAGTACTTTGTAATACTTCTGACAGAAGTGAGAATAAAAAAATCATTTTAATAAGAGTGATCTAAAAAAGGTGTGTTGGTGAAAGCAAATGGGTTGTGTAAATGAAGTTTTTGATTGAAATGGGTAATGGAGGTTTGAATACTGCATAAGAACTAGAGTTGTTGGAAACAGGGAGAAGGGATAATGTGCCTGGGCTGAAAATGCACTTTCTAGTTTTCTGGCATTTCACAGTGCTTTTACAGAAAAGGGTAATAAATGGTTCCCATCCTTTTACCAAAATGTTTAAGTTTTATTCCATTCTTTTGGTTTGTTTTGATTTGTGCCTGGGGAGAATAAAGGAAAATAAAGGCACTTGAGATTGTAAATCCTGACAGGATCACCCTTACTTGTCTTGCCTGTACATGATTTCTTCTAACACATTTGTAAATGTTCAGGTTTGTTTGTCTTAAGCTTTTGTACCAGGGGAGTTTTGTGTGAGACTTGTGGATCAAATACTGTCTTTAGAGTAGAATGTATACAAAGACACTGCTCTTGGTCAGTGTTATGTTGCATTGTGTACACTTTTTTTGTCTTATAAATCTGGAGTGGTACCTGTTACTTGGCATTGTTCAGATGCAGGCTACCTCCGGATGTGTTGAGTAATTATCCAACCATGAAATGTCAAGTGGTGGTGGAGATTATCGTGAAAAGGCAAGAAATATACTCAAGCTGTTCATTTTAATTCTCCTGCAGTTGCAGGTGATGCGACCGTGCATCTCAAACATGCTGCTGCAGTGCTTTTACTCCATTCCACCCAAAAGACAGGAATTCAAGTTTATCAGTATTTAAAACCTGCACCACAAGTGCAGACTCACTCACAGGGAGCATGAGCATGAAGAGCTTAAATAGATCAAATAAATCAAAATACTAATTTTTTTTTTTTTTTTTTGTAATCCTCCTATGACTGGCCGTACTTGGGAGTTGCTACACACTGAGAGAAATGCAGCATTGCTTAAATAATTGTAGGGAGACATACCCAAACAAAGCTATGTTATCGATGACATACTGTGTCTTATTTATGTGAATTGAAGGGATTTAGACCTTGATCTTACAAGCAGCTCCCTCCTCCTTTAGCCCCACTACCCTGTTCAGGGTTTTTTTTTCTTTAAACTTCCACATGCTTCCTAAAAGAGTTGCAGATTATTGAAATACAGCTTTGGAATTGAAGAATGGTATTTGCATTGCACTGTGGTTTGCAATTTTTAGATTCTTGTTAATGCAAAACGTTGGGGGAGTTATCATACCCTTAAACTTCAAGCTTGTTTGGACCTGCTGGACTCACCAGGGAAACACCTACAACTTGTTGAATAAAAGCTGTGATGAATTTCAGCAGTTTTGGAAACTAGTCTGTTTCTGCTTGTAGCTCACTAAGCAGCCATGCTCACAGTAAAAAGCAGTAAGCTAACCCTGCTATCTAAGGTATCTAATCACCTTATCAGTTGTGAGAGAAAAATGCAAAGGATAACATGCTGAAGATGCTGATAAGAGAGACCAGGGAGCTATGCAAATGTGTATTTACAATCTGAAAATTGTTCTTTTACCTTCTTTTGAGTGTTGAGTGAAAAGAGAGGGTTTGTTTTTTGGTTTTTTTTTTTGTGGTTTGGTTTTCTTTTTTTTTCTCCCCCTAGATGCAGGAAACTGATTTCTGTAGTAAACAGGAACTATGTAGGCAGAATATATATATATATATATATATATATATATATATATGCATGCATGTATGTGGTTTTGGTTATTCACATATCAGTTTTCAAAAACACTGCTTTTTAGAACAGCAAAAAGGTATAAACATGAAAACAAAAATACTTGGATGGCAACTAGAATTTGTACTTCAGAGTGCTTTTCAGGCTTGACATTCTAAACTAATCTTGGTAAACTAGCCAACGTACTAAAATTGTGTGAGTATTGTCAAGCTCCATTGTCATATGTATAGGATGTGAAATTCCTTTGAGGTCATACTTCCTTTCAAAATGGTCACATTTGAAATCCATGCCAACCATCTTTAATAATGTTAGAATATAACATTTTTTCCTTGGAATTACCAGGTCAGGAAGTCATCTGGGGGGGAGGGGTGGGGTGAGGAAAGCACTGTGAAAGATGATCTGGTAAGGCTAAAAGTACTGCATGTAGGTAAGAAATTTTTAATTGTGATACACTGAAATTTCCAAGTTCTGTTTTTTTGTTTTTTTGTTTTTTTATTTTCTTGCTGTAATCTCATCTCCACTGCTCTATTAAGAGGCATGTGTTAACCTTCCCTCTTATACGGCGATGAAATGTCTAAGTACTG